AAAAAAAAAAAAAAAGGGAAAAAAAAAAAAAGAATATATTGACACTCGACCCTTACCATCGCAGAATCGCAAAATTAGCGGCCAGGTTGAGTCCTTCTAAGAGGAGGAAGGACTCGATCTGGCCGCTGATTTTGTGATTCATCTGCAGCCAAATAAATTGTACGCTCATTATAGCTCTATTTGGGGCAACTTTCAGTCCAGATGCAGCGAAGAGGACCATACGTTCTATTCGGGAGAAGACGGTAGTGTCCGTATGCCCTAAGAGAGCGTGCAGAAGTAGTGGCAGCATGAGGAACTCAAGGAGTAGGAGCATACTGAGTCCAAGAAGTAGTTGCAGCATGAGGAAAAGGATGGTACCTGTATATCCCCTTGTGGCACTTGCGACAGTTCCCGCAATGGATGGGGCCAGAAGATAGAGGAGGAGCAGAGCACCTGCGCCAATGACGAGCACAAGCGGATCTGAGGCAAGAACATTCTCCAGGGTGGACTCTGCCAAAGGCTGTGCTGCTCTCACAGCCTCCGTGACTTGCTCGGTAGCATCACCCGCAACGGTCACAGCTGTCTGAAGCACAACAAATCCAGGAACAAACAAACAAACAAACAAACAGACAAACAAACACTGTCAGACAAACAGACAGACAGACACACAAACAAACCGGCAAACAAACCAACAAACAAACCAACAAAATGAGTGTCTATGGGGCTCGCCACACAGGCTTTCGAAACGCGCAAAATGGAGGCCGTGTCTTCGCCACACAGCCTTTCGAAACCAGTTCTTTCGAAAAAGTTTCGAAAGGTGTCAGATGGTCCGGCGTCGAAAGTCCTTACGAAAAGATGAGCTCCTCCCGCCTGTCACGAGCCTTTCCTCGAAAGACCTCGAGTGGTCTTTTGAAAAGGCACACCCGAAACGGTTGATCGGTCGGCCAAAAAAAAAAAAAAAAGGGGCTATTCCAAGGGCGTGGCTCCAGTACTTGCAAACGACAAACATTATGATTCAGACTCTCGTTTTTTAGCAATGAGCCAGGCCCTAATGTGCATTTATCGAAAGGCCTGGGTGTTTCGAAAGTCTGTGTGGCGAGGGGGGGTGTTCCTTTCGACGAGCAGACTTTCGAAAAAAGTCTGACACCTTTCGAAAAATGCCTTCGTTCGAAAGCCTGTGTGGCGAGCCCCTATTACTGTCAAAAGGTCTCACCCAAAAACTCGAAACTTGGGATCATACTTGGACCTTGAAACTGATATAATTTAGAAGGAGACTTGGGACTTGGGACTTGGGACTTGGGAGTTCAAAAGTTGGTACTACAATTTTTAAAACACCAGTTCGCCCCTAGCTTAGCCGGGCTATTTCCGGTTTACGCCGTAAAAAGGTCATTTCGCTTCGGGCCTAGGCCGGTAGTGAACATGGAAGACCACTACGAAAAAAAAAAAAAAAAAAAAAAAAAAAAAAAAAAAAAAAAAAAAAAAACAACAACAACAACAACAACAACAACAGTTAGGCTTGCTTTGCTACATAGCTATTGACTAGGGACTTTGACATGGGACCCCCACTACGGACTTTGACTCGGGACGTTGACTTGGGACTTTGACTTGGGACTGGACATTCCGTGTGGATGGGTTTGGCGCCACAGACTCCCACGCTTTGCTGTAAACTTTGACTTAAGCCACCAGTACTTTTGACTCATCCCTTGCCGAGCTTGGAAACACCGTGTGCCAAGAAATAGAACTGGCATGAGCCCTCTTTTGCCCCCGGTAGGTCGCCCCGCCCCCAAAGAGTGTGGCGCGCACAGCTGCGTCTTTTTTTTTTTTCTTTTTTTTTTT